TCTTGCGACTCGTGTCCTGCGACCCCTGGAGTTGGGAACAGGAGGATGCGGGGCAACAAGGAGCTCGAGTGCCACGGATTGGAGGCAGACACCGCGCAGGAGACTTTTTGTAGAGAGGTCGGCAGGCCAAGGGTCAAGCCGGGCGGGCAGCGTAGGAGCAGACTCAGGAGCCAGAAGTCGTGGACGAGGGAGCCAAAGGTCAGATCCAGCCGGGCAGCGAAGTACCAAATCAGTAGACGAGAACAAATCAAGGGGACCGGCCGAGGTCGGGGGCCGGCAGCAATCAGCAAAGGGTAGTCCGAGGCAATGCGAGTCAAGCAGGTCACAGGCAATAGACAGAGGCAACAGGCAACACAAGACCATCAGCAATGAGAGGCAGGCAGGCCCATCCTTATATAGTCACTGAATTAAGGCAGCTACCTCACTTCCTGTGCGCCATCTGTCCGCGCGTCTTCCCGCATGCGCACTATGACGTGCTTCCCGAGATTGGTCTTTTGCGCATGGGCGGCCGTAATTGTGCCTTTACAGTCACCCAGCAATAGGTAGTGTCCTTGAGACACTGGAACTGGCAGGACCAACGGGTATGTCTGACAGCAAAGTAGAGCAGGAGAAGCGGGAAAGACTTTACTCATTAGAGGTGAAGTGCTTTCCTCGTTACGGGGTTCATTTTCTTTTTGTCTTTACATACCCTCTAAGAACAATAGCCCCCAAGAAGTGTCCATGTCCTGAATACCTAAGCCAGGGTTAGTATGTGATTTTGTTCTGGATGAGTCTTGTACAAGGTATAGAAATCTTGTATATGAGAAAAGAAAATGGTCATATAATAAACATGCAGAATTCAGCAGTCAGAGAATCACGGGAGGGGATGTGCAGCTGTTTGATGAGGACAAGAATGGGTTCACCTCTCACCTCCCACCTCTCATGTCATCCTGACAGACTATGGCGTCATCCACACCAAGGGGCACTTCCAGATTTAGAGTAGTCCTCTGCCTACAGGTGGTAACTAGACATGTGCGATTCGTTTCGTTACCAATCGAAATTCGTACGAATTTTCCTGAAATTCGTAAATTCGGAAGCATCCGAAATCCAAATTGCAGTTTCCGAATTATATCCGAAATACGAAATTCCGTTAATGAATTTCGGATCCGAATTTCTTTGAAACGGGAACTAATATTACCCCTGTAAATGAGGTTGAACAACATGACAAGATTTTTTTTTTAATCCGAAATACGGATCCGCTGCTGCTGAGAGTCGCATTACAATACACAGGCAGGAAATACGAAATTCCGTTGACGTATTTTCGTTCCGTTACGAACATTCGTTATATTGAAGTTAAAAAGCAAAGTACATTTATATTGGAGTTGATGGGAGTTTTTTTTAAAGTCCGAAATACGAAATTCGGATCCGGAATCCGTTAACAGAATTCGTATTTCGGATACAAAAACAAATACCACATCGACTCCGATATTAACAAAGGTATTTTTGCTTTTTAACTTCATCATAACGAATGTTCGTGAAGTTCCGAAAATGTGCCGAAACTAACGAAAAATCCGTATTTCGTACCAATCCGAATTGAGGTTAGGACACGAATTACGAAATACGAAATAATGGATATTACGAAACGGAACGAAACGGAACAAATTTTTTGACGGCGCACAAGTCTAGTGGTAAGTGGACTTTCCCTGTATAATCAATAGCTGCAAATTTTCACAACATCAGTAGGGATACATCTCAAGTAAGCAAATGTATACATTATCTCAATTCTAAAGCCGGGTCAGAAACAGGGATGAGGTTCTTGTTCGCCACCGAGTCGGGCTTGCGACAAACTTTGCACGTTTGCTGTTCAGTCAAACAGCCTAATTCATGTGCAGGTTCACCAAAAGTAACCCCATAATGCTATGCATGACCTGTGGATTCCGGTCAGGTGAAGATTTACAAATCAGGCCCTTCAGGTCTAGTATGGATTTATAGAGGGACCCTTCAATGTGATGTGCCCCCCCTCCAAAAAAAAAAATCTATTATCACACCCTTTCCCAAATATGTCGTTTAGCAGGTCAGGAACCATACCAGGCCACATGCCCTCAGCACAACACTGAGGGGGGAGTACTTTGCAAAGCACCTTGTCCCCATGTCAATGAGGACAAAGGTCTCTTCCCCACAGCCCTGGCCTGGTGGTTGTGGTGGTCTGTGGCCAGGAGGCTAAGCAGAATCTGGAAGCCTGTTGGTCAGTCACCAGTCAGCTTTTTATTCTTTCAATGGTTGGTTCCCGGATAACAAGCAATTGTGCTGCAAGTTTGAGAATGACTCGTCAAACTATTGCAGACTCGCCGAGCTTCACAATTTTGTTGCACAATTACAGCAAGTCTGCATTGCGAGTCTCCAGACCAGCGAGCTGGCAGACCTCTTGCTAAGACCTGCAGGACTCTTGCTGTGGACCTGCCGAGCAAATTTGCTACAAATTCAAAAAGTGTCGCCTAGAACGTGTGCTGCGAGTGTTCTGCGAGTCTACAACCTGCCGGGAATGTGCGCAGCAAGATACCAAGAGATACAATGTAACCCGGACACAAGTTTGTAGCAAGTTATCCTCGCTTGCAAGGGTAATTGCTTTGTTTTTGTGAACTTTCTTTTAATAAAAGTGGCAACGAAGCCCTTAAATGAAGATTTCAGTGAGTGGATGCGTCCTTAATGCGCTACTGTTTGGAGCAAATTCTCACTATATATATATATTGTGGTATTGTGTGGCAATCCCACAGTGGAACTGGGGGTTGTAGTAACCCAGGACTCTCAGCCAGAGAGACTGAGCAGTTCCAGGAAACAAACTATTTTGCTGGGAAAGAACTGGCTTTGCAGATCTCTCCAGAAAACCTGGATTTGGCTCGGGATCCTGGAACTGGGAGATTTCAAAGAGAATGGGGAGGGATGAAATCTCCATTTCTGGGTCCATGGTTTAGTAGGGGCCAGAACCTAATGATTTGAAACAACGAAAGAAGGAGCGCTACAACCCTGGAATACTGGGTGTTTAACAGTTAAACAGTTAAAAGATATAGTGTAACTATTGATGCAGACTCACTTTTGGACGGACGAGGTGGTATCTTGCCGTTAATTGTCAGCACGGCTCGCAGGGCGGAATCTGTGGCTGGTCTGTGTGGGAGTGAGCTCCGGGCTGTGGGGCTTCTGTTCAGTCCATGGATGTTGGAAGGTGAATCTTGTGGCCGGATGACCAGTTGAGGCGAAGTACACTGTGCGTGTAGTGGGACGCTCACCGTCAGGTGCAATGAGAGCTCAGCTGGCCAGGCTGCCACTCGTCGGCTGATCGGGAGCAGGAGCACCGCTGTACACCGTTCTGACAATGGAGCAGTGGTCGCTATGCAAGAGGTTAAAAGGTAAGCTACAGGCTGGGGGTCCTTGCGGTCCGTGGAGTGGTCGTTGTGGCTACGCGTTTCGAGGCTCTGTATCTCTTTGTCAAGCCAGAAGTCGTTCTGAGATCGTGCACTGGAGCTGGTGGGAAATACAGTGGTTTAAAAAAGACAGGTGGGCGTGGTTTACGATCATCGACGGCTGTCATTGGTCAGTCTTGCCTGGAGGGCAAGTCTTGCCTGGATCATTAGAACCTAATGATTGCACACCTGTGCATAGCCCTTATGGAAAGGGTGCTGGCTAGTGTTCTGGGCTCCAGCTGGGAAGAGGAACGGAGGTGTTCAGGAGTCAGGAGGACTCCACCCAGACGTCAGAGGGGAGCCAGGTGGCTGTGTGTGCTGGAGGCACCCCGTAGACAGCCGAGGAGACAGAGAGCCAGTGACACATGAGGGATGTGTTTGAGTGCCCACGAGGGGAGAGGTCAGGAAGGTCGGTGACCCTAGGACCGCTACGACACACTGCTGAGAGAGAAGAGTGAGGGCTCATAAGCGAATCTACTGAGCCATATAAAAGGAACTGTCTTATGTTGCTGCTGATGCAAGATATATTTCTGTTTGCCCTAAATAAACTGCATTTGATTTGACTTACCTGGACTACAGAGGAGTGTCCTTGTTACAATATATATACATATACCGCAGTGACGGTGAATCTTCCATGTGCATGCTTGATAAATTACAGGCATTGATTCAGCTGCAATAAATGTTTGGTAGATGTCAGGTTCACCGCTTTCCAAACATGCCCTCAGCTGCTTTTAAAACTGACTTTGGTTGACTGGAAAACTGAACTTTTTGTTTCTAATTTTTGGCTTCAAAACAGACTTAGAAGATAAAATTATTCTTGGAAGGCAATCCTGGCTGTATGTTAGGATCCAGAGCGCCTCCAGGTGGCGAGGGAGCTAAGCCCCGCAGTTCCTGTGCTCACCTGCAGGTGTCTCCAGGAAGACAGGAGCTGTCAGGTACCAGACCTCCACTGGGTGGTGCTGGAACCTGCGGCTCCAGTGCTCACCTGCGGGGGTCTCCCAGCTGCCGGCACTTAGCCATCACCTGGTGCTTCCTGGGAGGGTATTTAAACCCTCCCTGCATTCAGGATGATGGCTCAGTATCCTGCTATCGTTACCTGTTTTGCAGTCCTGAACCCTGGTCCCTGTTTGTAGGCCTGATTCCTGCTTGTTGCAGTCCTGTTGGTAATACAAAGAAACTGTATATAAACACCTACTACCTTGTCCGGTGTGGTCATACGTGTTTGGTCAACCTGTGTGGGTACCTGTATACGGTGTGGGGACACCTGTGCCGGTACCCCTGGCACTGTAGGAAGCCTTCTGTGTCCTCCGTTGATATGCTAAATCAATGGTCACAAATGATCGAAAGAGAGCAAACAACTTCCAGTCCTGAAATGGTTAAATACGACGAGATAATGGGAAGGACCTGGGGCTTTAGATGTTGGCAATGAAATGAAATCCATCCCGTGTATGCAAAACCAATCATGAGATTGATCTCTGGAGACTATTTACATCATTGAAATACATCAATCTCTCGGGGAGCGTTCGGTCATTTCTGCCCGGGTGAAGCCACACCAAAGCCACAATGATGACTCCACTCTCCTTCTATTTCTTAATCTCCGCAGTCTTGGGACTCAGCTTGGCAATACCTTCTAACACTTGTATCGTGATTGTTACCCTGGGAGTCATCAGAAAGAAAGGGAAGTTGAGTCCCTCCGATGTGATCTTTATGGCCAAGGGGATGGTGAATGTTCTCCTCCAGGTTTTTCTGTCTTTACAAGGAATGTTCTCTGTCTTGTGTCCGGAAGTCTTCTACATTGGAGAACTTTATACATTTATGATCTCATCAGTTCACTTCTTAATGTATTCCAGCTTCTGGATGACCGTCTGGCTCTCCGCTCACTACTGTACCACCATCACCAACCTCAGCTATGGGTTCTTCATCTGGTTAAAGAGAATTGTGTCCAATTTCCTGAGTCAGATTCTATTCCTGACAGCTCTCGGGATGTTCGCTTTGTGTGCCCCCGCCGTCTGGGCTCTGCAAGCAGAATATGACAGGGATGTCCAGTCTTCTGAGAACACAACAGAATCCTTCATGACCAAAGTTTATTATTCTCTGAGTTTTTCCTATTTTCTGCCCGTGACCTTCCTGGGCTGCGTTCTGCCATTCTGCCTTACTCTTCTGTGTCTTCTTCTCACCTTCTCCTTCCTGCTCAGACACGTCTGGAGGGTGAAGAATAATGACTCCGGATCCTCACGGCCAAATCTTGACGTTCACGTCACTGCACTGAGGACAATCTTCTTCTTACTCTTCATGTTCACCTCCGTCTTTATGTCTCGAGCGATTAGGTTTCTCAATCAACCAGCAAAGTTCGGAGATACAATACTTGTGGTCAGTTGGACATTACAATTATTATCTCCTTCATTTGAGGCTGTCGTCATCTTCCAGGCCAGCAACAAGCTGAAAAGGATCATTCTGGGCAAATTCTGGACAAGAAGAAGATGGAACGCAGAGGTTTAAAGTGACACTAAACTCAGAATACAATAAAATATCTTAACTCTGAACAACAATGTATCTGATTTGTGCGTCACTCGGCTGGTGATCCTCCAATCATCTCTGACACTGTCCTTCCTTCTGGGGGAGGGGCGGCTACTTTTGTTCCCCATGGTCCCTGTGTGTGTTGTAGAGTAGTCACCACTCCAAGCTCGCTCCCGGGATGGACTACAATATCAGGTTTAGTTTACTCATTTGTATTGAGATTGTAGTCCTTCCCGGGAGTGAGCTTGGAGCGGTGACTACTCTACAACACACACAGGGACCATGGGGAACAGACGTAGCCCCCCTCCAGAAGGAAGGACAGCGCCAGAGATGATTGGAGGATCTACAGCCGAGGGATACACAAATAAGATACATTGTTGTTAATAGCTTAGGGACTGGGATGGATTATTAAGATTTAACTCCTGAGTTTAGTGTCACCTTTACATATAATTGTTCTTTACCTTGAATTTCAACATTGTCATGTTTTGAGGTGTGAAATGTGCTTTGTACATCCACAGACTCTGCTTCCTGGTAACACATTTCTCTGATCCTCTTATCTCACTGATGATGGACCAGACACGGTTCCTCAGATGAAAATTGACTCTCTGACATTTCTTATCTGCTCACACAATGTTCCTGGTATCCACATATATATCGTTTGACCTTCTCACAATATTTGTAATTATAATATATTATTGAATGGTTCTATTCTTCAACATTTCATTCTAAATGTTATTATGTGTATAAGGAATATTACCCACTATACTTCATGTTTTCTAGGTATTGTAGAAACACTCCTCCAGATTCAGAAGACCAATAGTCTCACAATGACTTGGTTCTATAAGACGCTGTGTACACCTATGTTACATAGTATTTAAGGTTGAATAAAGACATAAGTCCATCAAGTCCAACCTATTGCGTGTATGCATTTATGTTTGAGCGGGTGTGTGCGTGTGTGCGTGTGTATGAGTCCCTGTGTGATTTTGCTCTTAGGCGTACCTGTACCCCTGTATGTTACCTGTACCCCTGTATATTACCTGTACCCCTGTATGTTACCTGTACCCCTGTATGTTACCTGTACCCCTGTATATTACCTGTACCCCTGTATGTTACCTGTACCCCTGTATATTACCTGTACCCCTGTATGTTACCTGTACCCCTGTATATTACCTGTACCCCTGTATGTTACGGTCTCTGAGGAACTCGTCCAGGAGTTTCTTGAATGATTCCGCACTCTTAGCTGAGATCACTTCCTGTGGCAGCGAGTTCCAGACCCTAACCGCTGTGACTTTGAAGAACCCTTTGCGCCACGTGTGTTGACATTTTTTTTCTACCAATTTTTGGTGGTGCCCTCTGGTCTTTGTTACGGAGCTGACCGTAAACAGTTTGTTAATAATGTTGCTGTCGCCCTTGCATAGTTTATACAAGAAAATCATGTCCCCCCTTGCTCTCCTAACCTCCAAAGAGAACATGTTTTAAGGAGAACTATGAGGGGGAGGGGCTTTTCACTCACCTCATAGTTCTAGCCGACCTGTGACAATGAGACCGTCACAGGTCGGCTCAGTAGATCGGGAGGTGAGGGAACACATACCGGGTTCGCTCACCTCTCGATCCTGTCAGGGCTCTCTGCCGTGACAGGGGGAGGGGCTGGATTCCCCTCTCCGATCTGCCAACGCTGACTGGCGGATCGGACGGGGGAGGGGGCGGGTACAGCTGGCTCTGCCTCTAGATAGGCAGAGCCAGCTGTCACTCACGCAGCTGGGCGGATCT